CCCACACCCACACCCACACCCCACACCCACACCCACACCCACACCCTGATTTCGAGTCAGACGCGTTAACCACTCGGCCACGACTGCTGCCCATATTTAAGTGGAGATTCACTCCGAAAATTTTCATTTTAAAATGTACTGAATGTTTTTTGTTATTGAACAGAGAGGTGCATTTAGAAATTGCAAATTATCAATTGACAGGAGAATTGTATCAATTTATCCTATGGTAGAACCAAAGAAAAATTGCTAGCGACATTGGTCTCTACAGTTTTTTGAATATTTCACACTACTTATTTCTTTTCAAAGAATTCTAAAGCAATGATTTATTATCAAACCTAAAAGAAGACTTCGCAGGCTACAAGAACCAAAAACGAATCTTCTCTCGAGCACATCGGAAAAGGCTTTACGTCGAAAACGTTTTCACTCTCCGTAGATAAGAAAAAAAAAGGTTTTGTAGCAAAGCTAGAAATCTTCCTGTGTTTAGATGAAGCCCCTCCAATTTCTGTATGGGACCATCAAGGTGTTTTCTTACACTTATGAAGTTTGTTCATGTTTCTATGAAACGTTTTTCTCATGTACTAGACCCAGGAAAGATTCTAAGGTAAAGCGTTTTTGTGTGTGTGTTTGGGAGAAGATCTTTTTCTGGTTCAGCAGCTTCCTAAAGCCGTTTTGAAGTTCAGTAATAAATCATTGTTCTGCGAGTAATGAGTGGCATCTTCAGAAGAGCAGATTCACGTGGTGCGTAGACCATTTGCATAATAGCAGTCGTGGCCGAGTGGTTATGGCGTCTGACTAGAAATCAGATTCCCTCTGGGAGCATAGGTTCGAATCCTATCGACTGCGAGTTATATTTCATTTTTTTTCTCGTTTCTTTTTCTATCAATTCTATATTCCATATGCAGAGAATAATATAGAACACAATGTGTGAGGGCGTGGGTGTGGATTTTGAAGGATGGAAAAAACTGATATCGACATCCTCACCCACACCCTCACCCATCTGCTTGGATCTTCGAGCGGAGTAAATATTAATTTCCGATCTCAACTCGAACATCTCCTTATTTCGACTAGTTATTATGATACACGTAAAACTAAACAATTTAGACTGTCTCAAGAATAATAGTGGATCTTTTTATAAAAATATTGACATGTACATTTTCATGAAAATACAGACAGATGATCTATACTAAACAAGATTGTTATAGACTTCTCGAAAACTTGATAGTACCTTATAACCAACATTTTTTTTTGTCAAAAGAAATGTCGTTTGACTCTATACAAAAAAAAATATAAAACTTACCTTAGGCACTTAAAAATTAACTGCATAACAGAAGCAAGAACAGTAAAATGGAGCATGTCAAATGGTCGATTTTTACTTGTTATAATGTTTTTTTTTCCATTCTACAACATAAGTAATAACAGATAGAAAACATAAGATTTCGCAGAGAAGTTTCCATTCTATCGATTAATATAATTTGATAATGGTTTTGATCAAATTATTATGATGAGAAAGTTCATAAACATCAATGATTGTATTGTCAAAATTAGGGTTTGTGAATAACTTTTTATGCTGCTTCAAGCTAGCAAACTCATTTCAAAAACTAAAATTTTTCAACAATTGATCCTTATTATTATGGACGTTTGCCTCGTGGACGCTCTCTTACATTATCATACTTCAAAACGAAATGTTATCGTAAATCTATATAGAAGCATTGCAAGCTAGTGGTGCGCTCCTGGCTAGGTTCTTCGTCGACGATAAGAAGATAAAATTACAGGTCGTTTTTTGTTGATGCATCGATACAAATATGAGATAAAAGAGCATGTCCTCTTATTTATTTTCTATCCTGTGAGACACTAAGAAAAAGTAAGATATGGTAGGCATTTAGAGTATTGTAACGACGTACAGGTATATTCGACATACAACTTACAAAGTGCTAGGACAAATCATCGCGCATGTGTGGATGTCGATACGTGTCCTCATCAACACCCTAGTCCACGCGCCTGCATCCGTACACCCATCAATATCCACATCTTCAAACAAATAAGGATTGCCGAAAACACATTTTATCGCTCTAATCGAAGTGGACGTGAATACAGTCAAAGGGAAACTTTGATTAGTGCGATTCAACGCATTTTTGGAAAATTCTTTCCTGATTGGGCATGTGGGAGTAGGTGCGTACATAGGTCAGAGTGTCCGTAAGGATACACAAAATATTCACACTCAGACTCTCACTCACACCCACATACCCTTTCGGGACCTCCAGTCATTTTAGTTAAAGTATTTTACTGAAATATTGAGACCAATACTAAAAACCAGCTCGTATTATGGCATTTTATTTCTTGTAAAAAAAACTGAAATCTTAGTTGAAAAGTAAGCGTCAAAATCTGATTCTGATTCTATGTCTTCTATAATCTTTTGACAATATCGAAATTATTCAAACGTTAGAAGTCATGCAATCTGAATTAGATTTCGGCACTTAATTCCAAATATGATCTAAGTTGTTGTCAAACAACGATTGACAGATAAAATATCAGAATACGTGCCGATTTTCTTAAAGACAATGTCCCAATTTTGATTCAAGTTCAGATAAGGTTTTTCTTCCTAGCTGTAAACAAAACAAAACTAGACATTTACAAGATGATCTGGTACCACTTGGACAGGTATCATGTTCACTGTCATAGTCCATAAGAATGGTACGATCAGTGTGGAGTCAGTATTATCTTTCAGATCATCTTTGAATCCTGGAAATTTGAAAACAATTGGTTTGAAAACTTAGAAAGATATAGCAAGACGTTTTTTTTTTGTTGGAAAAAGCAGAAATATTTTTTTAATGAAATTCTTGCTTTCGGTTTTCGAATTTTTTCACTAAAAGGTAATAATTGTAGCAAGTTCCAACGAAAATTTATTTTCTAAATCGAATACGCTCTTTCCAATGACGTACAATTTAGTCGAAAACCGAAGTAGTAAGATCTTTTCGAATTGATCACAGGTTATCTCTTTTTTTTCCCATGCTTCCCTCTTCATTCTTCTCGATATGATTTCTTTCTTACTCGATACAATTGAATCATAAAAATCAACGAACAAATTATTCTAAATCGATTTGTCATTCTCTATATGATTATGATTTATTTCGTTTTTTTTTGTGTATAAATTCTAGTCATTACAACAATGTTACACATTCCATACATGTTATCAAACAAAACTCAATAAAATATATCTGTACACAAACACAGTTTTAAGATGAACGCAGTTGAATCGTTTCCAAAAATTAATATAATCGAAGGTATTGGAATACCTGATTTTTGGGATGCTGAAATTTTTCGTTCGGCATTGAATTACAAAGCACAATCAGATGATATCTTTCTTGTTGTGTATCCGAAATCGGGTACAACATGGATGCAAGTTATTCTATATACACTTATGAATAATGGTGAAGCATTCGATAATAGTATGGGAGAGTATTTTGCACGCACACCTTTTCTAGAATTAGTTGGTGAAAGAGGCATGAAAAATATGCATAGACCATGTGTTATTAAAACTCATTTATCTTTCGATCGTGTTCCTTATCACAAGAATGCTAAATATATCTGTGTAGTACGTAATCCAAAAGATGTATATGTTTCTTTTTATTACTTTCTTTCCAAAATATTTAATATTCAACCGAACCAAACGTTATTTGATACATTTTTTGAAGCTTTTATCAATGGGAATGTTCCTTCTGGTGATTACTTTGAACATCTACATTCCACTTGGCAACATAAAGATGATGCCAATGTATTTCTAACATCTTATGAAGATATGAAACGTGATTTACCCGAAGTTATTCGTCGAATTGCTCAATTCATGAATATTGAACTCAGCAACAATTTGCTTGAGCATATTGCTACTTATTCATCATTTAATTATATGAAAGAACGGTTTCACAAGGCATACATGGCTCAAGCACGTATTGCACTAGCTAACGAAGCGCTCGATGAACCCTTGCCTGCTGATAGAATAACCTTGCAAAATTTCAATCGTCGTGTAATGGTGCGAGAAGGTACCACCGGCAACTGGCCTTCAGTCATGAGTGAAAAACAATCGCAACGTCTTGATAAAATCTTCGCTGAAAAGACGGCAGACATGCCTGGAGTGGATAAACTTTTTCTACCATAATATGTGTGAATGCATAGTTGGGTGGGTGTGGGTGTGGGTGTAGGTGTGGGGTGTGGGTGTGTGGTGGGTGTGGGTGTGTGGGTGGGGAGTGTGGATGTGGGTGTGGGTGTGGGTATTCACTTCTCTTTATCCATACCCAAACCCACACTCACATTCACACTCCCCACCCACACTCACCCACACCCACTCACAAGCCACACCCACACTCCACACCCACACCCACACACACCCACACCCACCCTAAACTTTTTTTAACACAATGATATAGTTACTTTCGTCATATATGACACTGCAAAAAGTTTTTTTTCTTCAATAGATGAGAGACCCATCTGAAGCGAAATGATCGATTAAGACTGAAAATAACATTCAATCTTCAAGATTAGTGTTAAGTACTAAAAAGCAATTATATAAATCGATGAAAATATTGCAAATAACAAATAGTTCTACTTTTTTTATCAAAAAAGGTACTTAAAATTAAATTTTTATCGTTTCTTTCTATGACTATTACTCAATTTTCAATGCAACGAATTTTTATTTTATTTTGGCTATTGGCTTTTAATGTTAATGTTTCATTATCATTCAAAGGTCGTCTTTATGCTATTGATCAATCATCGAGCACAGCAGCTTTTGTTCAAATCAGTAATAATTCTACAGACTATGATCGTCTGTTAAATCTTCGTCGTGCATCAATTTCTGGACCAGCAACTGCTATGAAAACGATTGATAATCAAAATTATGTTGTTACATATCATATATCTGATTCATTCGGTGTACCACATTATTATATTTTAACAATAGATGTTCAGAATACAATAAAATTGAAAAGTAATTTTACAATAACTGGACGTGGTTCGGGTTCATTTTGGCAAATAGCAGATGATGAAAAACAAATTGTTGGCATACGTGAATCTATGCAAGCAGGTGCCAGTCTTGAACTAGCAAAGATTGATCGAACAACTGGTCAAGTTGAAACACATGGACTGTATCCATATGGTTCATATAGTTTAGTAATGGCATTTGCGCGTGAACGTCGTTTATATTATAATATTATAGAATCAAATATATTTTGTGCAATTAATGTCGATACTGGAAGTTTAGATATTAAAATGTTAGTACCGAACGATTATTCAATATATGCATTAATCTATGATTCACAAACAGATCGTCTTATATCACTTGTTTATTCATCGAAAGTTGTTAAAAAAGCTTGGTTTCTTGCAACGATTAACATTGATAAACATTCATCAAGTATGACATTTGAAAGAATTGGACAATCAAGTATCCCAATGGAAGATGAATATTCGTGGTCAACAACATATACATTAGCATTGAAAGAACGACAATGGTTAACTTTATGGGGGAATACAAAGGTTGATGACAGTAATATATTTATCAGCTTTGATATTGATAATGGCGAAATTATTAGAAAACAAATAATAAAACACTCGAATTATTTGCATAATCTCGTTTATTTTGATTAAAATTAACAATAAACATCTATTCAAGATAAATTTATAACATACGTGCATCATAAGTTTTCATTAACATTATACAAGAATTTTTTAAACAACTTCTTTTCACACTGTGAAGCAGAAGTTTCAAGTCAGTGATATGATCAAAGATCATATTAGAAATGAATGGTTCCAATCAGGATTCTGTTCAACTAAGTTTGGCGCTGCGCAGCAAAGGTCTGAAGTGATTGATATGATCACAGATCACATTATAAATCAATTTTTCCAAGAGTAGAGACTGTTCGCCTATTCTTTTATCGTTCAAAAACACAGATTTCTGGTTAGTGTCATAATTGAAGATCATATGGCAAATTAGTGGCGCACACAACCGATCTTTTCAACTATTTTACTAGATTGGTTTTTGGTGGGTCTCTAGAAAACCTTTTCTATCTGGTCACAGCATTTTGAAACTCTGAGACTGTCAGTAGCAAGCGCACCCAAAACTGTACCTATGATAAAATTTTCAGAGTTATCGGACGATATTTCGATGAGCTATTCATATTAGACTCTTTGCATGTTCAAGGATCCATGATGATTCCTAGCCAAAAAGAGAAGTGTTTCCAGATATTCATGCACTGAAAATAATATGAAAGGATGTGGGTGTGGGTGGAGATTAAAGCATCGACACCCTTACCCACACCCTTCTAGAGTCATTTATTGTTTGACCATCATCATCATGATTAACTGGACATTGAACAAGTGAAATAAATTAATTTCTTAGTGAATATATTCTCCGACCTTAATAGAACTATTCCATTCAAGTATTGTGTATTCAATAAAGGTCATATTATACAAAATTGTAAAATAAAATTACCTAAATTTATCCGTCAGTGTTCAACAGGTGAACTTTTTTTTATCATATCAACAATAATATTTTTTTTTATCTTTCATAGTTCACCATTTCGTATTATCGAGTGCATTAATACAAAGTCTTGTTTCTTTCGTTTATCTAGCATTTTACATGAACAAAGTAAAACCATTCATGTTGTATCGATTAAAATCAGATATATTTGACGATCTTTCATCCAATATTTGACATGATTATTATTGTGATTAAAGGTTAATACAATATATGTTTTATGAAGATTTTTCTAATGAAACAAAAGAGCAAGTTAAATATATTGATAATGATTCACAAAATCAAATTCGAAATCCTGAAATGGGCTTCTTATTTAAGATGAAACAAACAGAATTTATTTTAACAGATTTTCTTTTTAAATTAGGAATTATAACATTTATGTAAATTATATAATCATTTATCTTTGATTTTAACACATAGTCAAATATTCAGAATAAAATAAAAGAATCAGAAATTAGTTTAAATACTATTAGAGTATCAGGCAAATAACTCGTTCTCAAGTAAACTGATGTAAAAAGAATAATTCCAAAAATCACTTCTTTTTTTTCCTGTTTTATCATTTATAGACGATCATCAATCGAATGTGGTAATGGTTTATTAAATCGATGATATTATTAAAACACATCGTGCATTAGTTTTTGTCAAATGAACGTTATGATTGATGTGATTAATAATCAACTTCTTGGATAAAATTTGTTGTGAATTTTATTTTATTTTTTAGAACAATGAAAATTATTAATTTTCTTTGTTTCGATAATTCAAGGAATACGATGGATCGATTTAATACAGTTAATTTATTTAATTCAAATCTAAGTATTGATCTGTAATTATGAGGGTCTGCAAAATTCTAACCTAGCAAAATTTAGAATCTTGTACACTTCCCTATATCATGCACTGAACCAATTGTGGGAAAATAAAATTCAGCTAAAAATTCTAATTTTTAAGCATAATTTTGAACAGAATCCTAATATTCAAACAGACTTAAATACATTTATCTATGCATCAAAAATAAAATTCTGCTAAGAATTCTAATTTCTAAGCAAAATTTACCGCAGTGATAATATAAAATATGCATACGTTACAAAATCCTGAATTCTGCTTGGTAAGAATTTTGCAACTGCTGGTAATTATTAACAACGTATCGATGATCTCATATTAAATTTAATTGATGCTAACACAATTTTATTTATTGAACATGATTAATTTGTTTTTTCAAATTTTTGTTTTACTTATATTAACATGGTTAACCACAAAAAAAAAATAAAGAACGACAAAAACAACAATGAAAATTTTGAGTATTGATAAACTATGAGGTCGTTTCCTCAACCAATATGTTGTTTCTCGTCATCATCATGATTCGCTTGTGAATTATTCAAAATTTCTAAATTGATATTAGATTCTCTATGTATATTTGTAGGACTTTTTATTTAAATTCTCTTCGATACCTTTTCTTGATTAGTGCATCATTTATTTTCATTTCGTCATTTTGTTTGAATATGTAAAAAAGAAAAATTCGCTTTTTCTCGTCAATAGAGAAAAGAACAAAAGGGATAGAAGTGTAACACAGGTGATTAAACGATATATTAAAAGTAAAACTTAGATAAAGATAAGAATGAAAACATATGACAGTGTACTTTCTTTTCGCCAACTTATTATTTCATCAAGATATATTCTTTGTCTATCTTCAGTGGGTTAGAAAAGTTTCATAATTAAATGATATTGTTCAATAGAGATAGAACTAAATATATGATTAGTTCAATACTCAAATGAATAAATGAAACAATTTGGTTTGCTGTCATTACAATATCGAATAGAAGAAAAGCTACTCCTATTTTTAGATATTTAAATAATGAAAATCTTGTTTTGTTTATTATTATTTATTCTTTATAATGGTTTGGGAAATTGTGCTCAACCCTATTTCCCACCGCAAATTGTATTTTCTTTTGGTATCGATCAACAAATAATGGCAATCGATGAAATAAATCAACGAGCTTATATAACATATGCTTTGAATCCTCCATTGAGAGGAACTGCTTTTGTGATGAAAAATTTTTCATATGCAATTCCAGATTCTCCCAAAAATCAAAATCTTATATACAATTATATGAACTCTTTCCAATGAATTCATGTATATGTATATAACATATTGGAAATATGGTGGAAGTGAATTGAGTTTCTTTCCATCACATTGGAATAATGGAACTTCATTTGAAATAAAAAATTATATGAATTTTACATCTGAAATGATACATTCAAATGATTCTTCTGTAGATGAAGATTATTGATATTCAAGTGTAAGATGTCGAACTGATAGTGGACAAACTTATCCATGTCAAGAAATTTATTTAAAAAAAAATACTGATATTCCTCTTCGATTATTTGAAGTTCGTCGTACAAACTGGAGAGTTATTCAAGTAACAATAGATTTTACAGTTATATCAATCGGAAAACCAGATGACAAATACTTTAATTCAATTCCAAAACAATGGTCTCTCACTTGTCTAGATATTAATCTCGGAGTTTTATTTTATCCACAAACAATAAAAATAAATTTAGAAGAAAGTACAAAAGTTCAAGTTTGGCTTCGAACTCCTCCACATCGAATAAATGGAAATGATACTCTTACAATTCAATGGAAACCGATGAATTTTACTGATAGTTTTGAATGGACACCAAAAGAATTTATTTTTAACACTAAAAGTTTTCAAGAAAGACAAATATTAACAATAACTCGTATTAAAGATACAGAACAAACAATGCTTATTCCAGTTTTTTATGGTGGAGGTTTCGATCTTGTTTCACCACAAAGTTATCCTATATATATTCAATAAATATGTTTCTTTTCATTTTATATATTTATCGAATGTTACAGGAATAATTAATTTCTCAGTATTTTAACAATATCTCTTTTTAAAAATTTCTTTACATTATTTTATTTCATCTTTTTAGTTCTCTTCAAAATGATATATTTTCTAAATTGATCTGAATAGATAAAAATGAAGATATATTAAAGTACCGTTATCTATCTTTCATGTTATTTGATCATTGCATGATGATTTATTTTTGTCCACTATTAGAAAAATCAACGGCAAATTGAATAGTTATATATATATATAAGCTTCATATTTGAATGAGATTGTTCGGTAAAGGTAAGTTTAGATATATTGTCAAATCTGTTTTATATTCTTAAATTCGACAATCAAAAAAATCAATCCAGAATTTTGTTTATTGACATTCTTGATTAGTGAATATTTTATTATAACTGCATACTTTTACTTGAATATTTAAAAAAGCACAGATTGTTTTCTTTCGAGCAGTGTAAAAAAAGAATAAAGTCAATATTATTTGTGATAAAGCTAAAATAAGTAGTGTGCTATTGTGTGAAAAAAGTTTATTGACAATCACAAGAATGAAAAAAGTATTATAATACTCTGTTTTGTCCACTCACCATTTCATGACGAATTATTTTTTGTGTTATATTCTGATTAATCTACATTGAGTTTATTATTTTAGAGTATTGAAATGATGAAAATACATTTGTATTTAATATCATTTATCTTATGGTGTTATACAAGAGAATGTGCACAACCATATTTCCTTCTCAAATTGTATTTTTTCCTGATAATGATCAAACAATGATTGCAATTGATGAAATAAATCAACGAGATTATCAAACAAATTCGTTAAAATCTTCATTAAGAGAAAACGCGTTTGTGGTGAAAAATTTTTCATATGCAATTCCTAATTCTTCTCAATCAAAATATGATGTTCATTAATTAATAAATACTCCAGCAAATAGTTTTATACATGGAACACATTCAAAATATGGCGGAAATAATTTAAATAGATTTCCACCACATTGATGGATTAATGGAAGTTCATTTAAGGGGACCCCCCCCCCCTTTCCGGCGTTTTTAAGAAACGGCCGAACGAAAATTCCTGAAACTTGCAGGGTAGATAGATCTCGAGTAGTAGAGAAAAAGTTGTCATAGACACAAATTTGCCAGACATCATCTTCATGGACTTCCAGAGACCCCAAGGTCAAAAATTTGCAAAAAGTTTTCCCCCCCCCCGCAAATCCACAGATTTCATCCGTTTGAGCTGAAATTTTTACTGTGGGTAGACGGACCCAATCGGGGTGGGTGTTTTTTTTTTTTTCAAAAATTCCAAATACTTCAGACTGGAGAACCAAAATACTGAGCACTTTGCAAAATCTCTAGGTTTTTTGGATCCTAAAAATTTTGCGAAGCCTGCCAAACTTGATTGGTAGAAGGTATCCAAAAAAAAAAAAACACCCAACCCAAATCACTTGAAGTCTCACCAAAACAATTTTCAGCCCGATCGGTCCAACCGTTTTCGAGAAAAAGGGGGAAAACTTTTTTTTTTTTGCTCAAAAACTGATTTTGAGAAAATCGCAAAGAAAGTTGCACTTTTTGGGTTTTTTAGCATAAAATTGAGATTTTTTTCGAGTTTCTTATATGCAAAAAGATAGTTTAGCCTTCTTGAAATGTGCTCATTAGATAGAGGGCATTTAGATCTATATACTAGACATTAAAAACGAAAAACGAAAAAACTGAAAATTTTGGGTCAGGAAGGGGGGGGGGTCCCCTTAAAGTGGATAATTATAGGAAATTTAAATGTAGAATGGTACATTTGAAGGAGGGTGTGGGTGTGAGTAAATAGCTAAGTCTGGTGCAACCGCACCCATGCCCCCACACTACTATCCTTCCATACATCCACACCCACACCACACCCCACACGCACCCACACACCCACACCTATACCCCACACATACACCCTCAAACCCATCCCCATGTCGCTCTAGGAGGTTCACGATTATCTGGATTGAGTGCCAGGTCAACCACATCGATATGATGGCTCCTGTCTTTACTGTGCATTGGAAGAAAAAGCAATGAACAACACATTGAATGAGAATCAATACAAAAAACGTTTTGGCAAACAGATAGATGAACACACGTACGAATAATACTATGTATGGTTTTTAAATAAAGCCAACATCTTGAATATTCCAATGCATCTTTTTATTATCGTTCTTGCATGCGAAGAAAATGCGGAATTTCACTCATCATACTGGCATTATCGACTATTTCATGGACAGCCGTACAACATATAAGTGTAGATTAGTGGATCTTGTAGCAAAACACGAAATTGGAGAGGTTATGCAACCCGAAGAATTTGATGTATTAAGCCAAATTTTTGAAACATATTACCGCAATATGATCAGTAATGTACGATGATTAAAACAATAAGCTGCCACTTCTATGTGAGAAGATTATTTTTCCTTTTCTGTTTTTATTCTTCCTATTTTCATCATGTTTTGTTGTTAACCCAACTTTGCCAAAAGTAAAAAACACATGCTATCGACAACACTAAATTTCGAGGGGAGAGATGAGTCAGGGAATAAGGACCGATCGATGAGGGTGAGACAGAGAGAGAGGAAGGACGGAGGTTATCGTCATTCTATGGCTATGGCATAGTTGAAAACCGAAAGTTGGACTTGAATTGAAATTATTTCGATTTGAGTTAAACCTATTGAATTGAATTCGGCTTGTAACTTTTAGATATGTGCGCAGAAGCCTTGACTTACAAGATTCGTTGTTTTATCGAACATTAACTTTTGCTAGTTCTTTCTTTCGTTCCTCAATGTTGCAGATTTATTTCAAAAAATCTAAATCGGTGAAACTTCAGTTGAACGGTTTGATAATGAGTCAAATCAATATTGAAAAAGAAAAATCCATTCAATGGAACTAATTTAATATAAGACAGTATTTTCTGCTCGACAATTTGTTCTTCTAATTAGCTGTTTAATGCTCTATAGTTACGAAAGAAAACATGAATTTGTCAAGATATATGCTGGATTATTGGAAGAATTCAATTAAGTTGACTTTGCACTCTAAAATAAATCGGTTTATTACAAAACCTGTACCCGCGGAAAGAACCGTTGAGATTTCGTACGAATTCACCGAACTTAAAAAGGGTTTCACAAACTTGTTCGAATCTTTTTTAGGTTTGGTAAATTTGTCCGAAACCTCAAAGGTTCTTTTCGTGGGTACAAGTTCTGTAATAAACCGATTCTTTTTTAGAGTGTGAGCTGAATTCTTCTCAGTAATTTATTTTAAGTTCAATAGAAGTGTGCATGTCTTTGAAGAAATAAAAGATTGAATAGAAAAATGTGTTAATGTGAATGTATTTTAGTTAAAGAAAAACAATGATAAACAAACAAGAAAAAAGAAAACGAATAAAATAAGATTAATTTTTTGTTCGAATTTCTTCGACGTGTGAGTATGGTTGTGCGTGCTGGAGCCTTCTGTTAAACCACGTTCCACACCCTTACAGATAGCTCGCTGTAGTCAAAGTACTGAATTCAGAGCTGCTGTGTAGTAGCGTAATTTAGAAAAGAAGGGTGCGGGTATAGATATAAATTCCACCTATACCCACACCTTATACACTAAATTATATACTGTTATTATTAAACACTCGATCATTTTAATGCCATAATATTATTAAACTAAATTTGTTTTAAAAAGAAAAAGTTCGAAGCATATAAAGATGAGTATGTACTTTTGTAATAACTCGGTATCAACTGTGTATAAGCATAACTGAAGCAATTTTTTTGTTTTGAGGCTTTTTATTTATATATACATGAGTATAACATACTACGGGCGTCAAAATAAAAATCATTTTAATTTTTTCTACTTCCTTTTGCTTTTCTATATGTTTTCAGGTATGTGTTTTTTTATTTCGTACGCAATATTCACTTTGCGCAGATTACTGAAGCATATCGTTTTATGCACATGTATCATGGTATGCAACTTTTTGTGCACATCTTGTGTATATTCGTTCGTGATAGAGTATGCAATTGAAAAAAAATCAAAAAAAGAAAAACAAACTAAGCCAAAAATAATGGATGATAAAAAACGAATAAAGTTGCCTTGCTCCAAAGGTAAAAAAAGAGTCACTCGACAAAACAAGCAAACAATGTTACATACACAACATCAAGCCCAATCAACAATATCTCAACACAAAATTTTCTCCATATATTGAATTTTAGTTCATTTCGTCGTAGTGAGTAACTTATTGGGATAATGCCAAAAATAGAAACAAATCTATTAAATAGCACATACATAATGCCAATATGATTTATATATTACACATGATTGAGACATGGAATCGATCATAATGATCGACTTTTCTTTTGAACGATCGATTGATAAATGTTTTTTAGTTAACAGTCTCCTTGATTTATTTTTCTGTGTCTATCTAACTTATATTTATTATTTGATTAGCCTCAATTTATTGACAATATCTATATTTCACGTAATCAGTTTACTTTCGTTATGGCCAATGCTATACATCATGCTTAGTTAATCAAGAGATGAGTGTGTGAGTGTTCACACTTACACCCTATATGTTCGATAGAGTTCGACAAACTCTACAAGAATATGAATGTCAAAAAGAAATATCTGATCCTGTTTTCAATACAAAAGGTAGAGAAAACCAGGCAGACGAATAAAATTTTCACATACATTACTCAAGAGAGTTCGCTTAACTTTTCATAATATTAGTTGATCGACTGATAATTGATGTTTCGAGATAGAATGCCACGTATTGAAGTTGAAAATAAAACTTTCCGGGTTGCGTGAACAGACAGAACAATAGGTCAGCTAAACTTATCAAAAGTTCAGTTTACTCTCTATAATGCTGAATAAATGAAATTTTTATTTATCTTCCTGACTTCCTTCAAATTTTGTATCTTCAGAAAACAATATTTCTCTTCAGATGTTACAAGGATATTTTGTTTTTGCCAAAA